GAGCCGGTTCCAGCAATAAGCTCGCGAAGTCCGGGACCGTTTAGGACCGGACCGCATAGAACCGGCCCACTTAGGACCGGGCCCGCGAAACCCACTTAAGACCGGACCCGACCCACTTGCCACCCTTAACTTAGTATAAGACTATAAGTAGCTCGATATTTCCAGGTAAGTGTTGCTTTTACGTAATTTAGGTCTTTGGGTCCTCCAATATATATGATGCTCCAGTCAATTTTGTTCAGCTGCTTGAAAGGTCTCCACACGCTTTCTCGCCTACAAAATTTCCTTATGCAAAACAGTTAGGGCGGACCAATTACCTAGAACGCCTACATAACTTTTGTACGTGAGAAATTAGCAACAGAAATTGTTCTTACCAACTACGTATTTCTTTTAATTGTTGCCTAACTATTCCATTTTTCATCTTTTTAATTATTTTTTTATTCTTTTTACATCCACTAAGTGAATTTTCATTTTGTTTTGCAATCCTACTTGAATATCCATCTTTTTGGGTAACCAACTGAGATCACGAATAAAACTTTTAGTCCTTCTTTACATTGAATAAAGTACAGTGGGTGTGTAATCATTGGCCGGTTTTTGGGAATGTCCAAATGCAATGTCCAGTTGCTTGTAGTTAGATTAAATTCTACTGGATAAAACAGAACAACTGCAATAACGATGGGTCTGGCAGTAGACACAATATTTTAATGTCAATGCGTCAACCTACCAAATTATTTAGTGATCAAATAATATATCGTGGTTGATCAATTATTTCTGTTTGACTTTTATTACAACAAACCTTCTCTTCTTTCACTTATTCCTACACGCAATCACGTTGAAACTTTCTTCTTCCAATTAAAACTCCAACCTCCAATACTTTGAAACTCAACATTATTATGCCATTATTACACCGCGTTGATGTCTAGTCACTGTCTCAAAATTTTAAGATTCTGGTATGCTTATACAAACAACAATCTCTTGAACCCCTCTTTGTTTCTTCTGAGCTGAAAATGAATTATTCTCATCTCATCAGTGTATTTACCATTATTCTTGCTTCTTCCTCTGTTTCAATTCTTGCACAACAGCCTTACATTGGAAAGGGGACAAATGCCTGCGACAGCCAAGATAACTCCAACTCTGCTTTTGGGTACTTCTGCAATGGCGTTAACCGCAGCTGCCAATCTTATTTGACCTTCAGATCTCAACCCCCTTTCACTTCAGTGGCCACCATCTCTTCTCTACTTGGTTCTGATCCTTTGGAACTCTCTCAGCTCAATTCAGTTGCTCAAAATGCTACATTTGACACAAACCAAATGGTTCTTGTTCCTGTCACATGTTCTTGTTCAGGTCAGTATTACCAAACAAACACATCTTATGTCATAAAAAAGGATGATACTTTCTTAACAATTGCAAATAATACTCTCCAAGGCTTGTCTACTTGTCATGCTATCAACGCTGAGAACAAAGAACAAGCTAGTAATCTGGTTCTTGGTTCAAGACTTAATGTTCCTCTTCGATGTGCTTGTCCAACAAAGAATCAAACAGATGATGGTACAAAATATCTGCTTAGTTACTTGGTTACTTTTGGAGAATTTGTTTCCCTCATTAGTGATAAATTTGGGTCGGACACTAGGGCAACACTTGCTGCTAATGGACTATCAGAAAATGATACTATTTTTCCATTCACTACTCTATTAGTTCCTCTTTTGAACCCACCTTTGAGTTCCCAAGTTGTAGGAAATTCTCCACCGCCGCCTCTTCCGTCTTCACCAACACCACCTGCTGTTCCCGTGTCAAATGATAGCTCAAAGAAGACTTGGATATATGTTGTGGTTGGTGTTGTTGGAGGAGTTGTCGCTTTGTTTCTTTTGGGGGTGGTTATTTTCTTCTTGTTCTTTAGGAAAAGGCAAAAGAAAGCTGATCCACGGTTTGTTTCTGAAAGCTTTGAAGCAGTTGAGAAACCATTGAATAAGAAAGTTGAAGATGAGTCTGAGGAGTTTTTGGAAAGTTTATCCAGTATAGCTCAATCTGTTAAGATTTACAAATTTGAAGAGATCAAAACAGCCACAGAAAACTTCAGCCCAACATGTTTGATTAAAGGATCTGTTTATCGGGGCACGATCAATGGTGATTTTGCTGCTATAAAGAAAATGAGTGGTGATGTATCCAAGGAAATTAATTTATTGAGCAAAATCAATCATTTTAATCTTATTAGCCTTTCAGGAATTTGTTTTCAAGATGGCCACTGGTATCTTGTTTATGAATATGCTTCCAATGGACCATTAAGTGATTGGATATGCCACCAGAATGGTGATCAGAAGTCTCTTAATTGGACACAAAGAGTACAGATTTCTCTTGATGTGGCCACAGGGCTTAACTATTTGCATAGCTACACATCCCCTCCTCATGTTCACAAGGATCTAAACGGTAGTAATATTTTTCTGGATGGCGATTTAAGAGCCAAGATTGCTAACTTTGGTCTAGCAAGGTCAGCGGATGGAGAAGAAGGTGAGTTTGCCTTGACAAGGCACATAGTTGGGACCCAAGGTTACATGGCACCTGAGTATTTGGAGAATGGTCTAGTCTCCCCGAAGCTGGATGTTTATGCATTTGGAGTTCTGTTGCTAGAGATTCTCACTGGAAATGAAGTTTCTGTTCTATATGAAGGCTCGAATACTAACTTGGCTGAGGTGTTGATCCCTGTGCTTCATGATGAAAATGCGAAGGAGAATTTGAGCAACTTCATTGATCCTTCTCTGCAAGGGAAGTACCCTGCGGAACTAGCCATTGCCATAGTCAGATTGATCGATAACTGCATAAAGAAAGATCCTTCTCATCGCCCTGGTATGGATGAGATTGTCCAATCTCTTTCAAGAATTATGACAGCCACACACTCTTGGGAAATGTCATATAGCATTTCAGTATCACCTCAAAGATTGTCCTAGATCAGTGAATGTAAGGTTTTTTGTTTGGGTTTTCCTCCTCCCATGTCTAGCATGATTTGCTATGTGCATAATGTTATTACCTTATTATGAAAAGCTATTGCACCAATTACCCTTCATAAATATTAGTTTAAACTTCAATCAAGCCACCTTGTGTTCTCTTGTTATGTTGTTTCTTGCTTTGTGTAATGTATGCAGTCCTCCTCATGTTCCAGATATATTCAACAACAACAACAACAACAACAACCCAGTATAATCCCACTAGTGGGGTTTGGGGAGGGTAGTGTGTACGTAGACCTTACCCCTACCTGGGGTAGAGAGGCTGTTTCCGATAGACCATCGGCTCCCCTCCCTCCAAGAACTCCCCACCTTGCTCTTGGGATGACTCGAATTCACAACCTCTTGGTTGGAAGTGGAGGGTGCTTACCACTAGAGCAACCCACTCTTGTCCGGAAAACAAAATACAGGAAACAGGACTAAACTTGCTGGCATTACCTTGTAGTGGCAATATATGATTGACCATGTCGTTTGTTTTTGCATCTCATATTGTTGGTAGCTATACAACTTTGTGAACGCAATAGAGCAACCTTTTATCAAGCCATTGTGTGATGTGTAACCTGGGTATAAGCTGTGTTGAATCTGTAGGTTCAGCTACACATAAAACATACATCAAGTATAAGGAAAGATTGAAGGAATATACCTGTTTGTATGTTCCCACTGATGCCACAACATTCGACTAATCTAGCCGTCCGAAAACCAATAATTAATTAGATCATGTTTGACTTGTAGAATTCGCAGATCAAGAACCATAAAGTATATGAAGGTTTTTGCATTGATGATGGCATAGGTACGGGGTCAGCCTCTGGAAAAAAAGGAAACATTGACTATTAGCTTTCAAATCCAATGATTAAATGCATATCTAGGAGCAATATGTGAAGGCAAGGCCGGCCGGCTAGTTGTTTAAATTAAATTAATTCAATTTAACTTTTTAAAAAGAGCCAGCAGCCTAGTGGTTATTATTATTATTATTATTATTATTGGAAAAAGAATACCCTTAGGGATTTAACTAACACGATTAATGCATATCCGAGCCTCTTGTAACCCAATGGGTTTGTTATTGGTATATTTAAGTTGTGATCATTTTCAACTGAAATAGGCTTAAATGGAGCGATGTAGATAGTTGAGAAGTCATACAGGTGATCCTAATTGGGCTGAGAGGCGTAATTTTGTGACTGAGACGAGCTTAAATAGAGCGATGGACTGTGAAGAGTCAAATAGCCAACCCCAATTTGCTTGGGATTGAGTCGTAGTTGGTATTGTTTTTATTAAGTTGTGACTATTTTGGACCGAGACGAGTTTAAATGAATATGAACAACGATGTGTCAAATAGCCGATCCTAATTTGCTTGTGACGAAGCGTAGTAGTTGTTTTTGTTTATATTAAGTTGTGATAAGTTACCGTCTTCTATCTTAGTAGGCTTTAGTAAAACATTACCATTTGGCATATAACGATTTCAATTTTCAGGATAAATTGTCTATTCCTGGATTTGTTGCAGATGATGCCTTTAATAAGCAGCTGCATCTTAGTTTCTTGCAAGACTGTACAAAGCACCAGACCCGCTCATCAAAGCTAGGTCAACAGCTGATGATGCAATACAAATTTTTCTTAGACAATATTGCAAATAGACCATGAATTACCATTTTGAAACTTCCCTTATATGCTAGAAATTGTTTAATACTACTTGTCAAATGTGGAAGGCTGCAATGGTTGTTAGATGAAAAGGTCGTTTAACTAGAAAATTACTCCAGATCATTAGTGGTCTACATCAATGTGGTAGCATCAATTTGTCAATGACATATGATGTTTGACTTTACACAGAAGACCATTTTATGTTTTCACTTGACTTACAGAGCCCATAAGGGCATGCACCTCAACTTCCTGTGTTGCCACTGAATCACTCTGAACCAATAGAATACCATGGAAAATTTTCTGCTTATTCTTTTCTTAAGTTTCACAATTCTATCTTCAAAGGTCTATGCCCAGCAAAATTATTCAGGCAATTCCGTCATGAGTTGTAAAGGAACCAATGAAACAGGAACTTATTCTTCTTTCCTCTATTCTTGCAATGGTGAAAAGCTCTCCTGTCGTGCATTTCTGATTTTTAGATCACTCCCTCCTTATAATTCAGTATCTTCCATTTCAAATCTCCTAACTTCGGACCCTGATGAGATTGTCCACATCAACAACATCTCAAGGTCTGAAATCTTGGATCAGAACAAAGAACTTATAGTTCCAGTAAATTGTTCGTGTTCAGGTCAGTACTATCAGGCTGTCACCTCTTATGTCATACCAAGCAAATACGACACCTATTTTACAATCGCAAACAACACGTATCAAGGGTTGTCTACCTGCAATGCCCTTGTACATGAAAATGTCTACAATGCAATGGATTTGATTCCTGGTTTAAATTTGCATGTACCACTCAGATGTGCCTGTCCTACAAAGGATCAGACTAGAAATGGTGTGAAATATCTGTTGACTCATTTGGTTACTTGGGGCGAAAACATCTCTACCATTAGCGCTCAGTTCAGTATCAGTAGTCAAAGTACAGCATATGCAAATGGTTTTTCTGAAAATTCAGTTCTTTATCCTTTCACAACTATATTGATTCCTCTGACAGAAAAGCCTTCAAGCTCCCAAACAAGGACTATTAATATAGCACAGACTCAAATCATTTACCCTTCTAAGAACAAAATATCGTACAAAAGTATTTTTATTGGGGTAGGAGCTGGTGTTTCCCTTGCAGTCCTTTGTTTTATCTTGTTCATTGTCTTAAAGCATAAAAAGGAAAAGAAAAGTGGTGAAGTAGTGCTTGGGAAAGGAAGAGAAGGGAAACAGAAATGGAATTTAACAGAACATATCCTGGAAAGAATAGTTGGTGTGGATCAAATGATAAAAGTCTTTGAATTTGAAGAACTGGTGGCTGCAACAGAAAACTTCAGCCCTCGAAAAAGACTAAGTAATTATGTTTATAAAGGGTTCATTCGAGGAAAATTGTCAGCTATTAAGGAGATGAGAACAGACATATCGAAGGAGGTTAAGTTCTATTCAAAGATAAACCATTTCAATTTAATTAGCCTCACTGGTGTCTGTAAGCATAATCAATTATCCTATCTTGTTTTTGAGTTCATGGAAAATGGATCTTTAAAAGAATGGCTTTGCAAGGATGATAATCCAGAGGCTGAGAGCTGGAACTTCAGAATTCGTATTGCCTTAGATATCGCTGATGGTCTAGATTACATTCATAACTTCACAGATCCAGCTTATGTGCACAATAACATTAGTAGTAACAGTATCTTACTTAACAGAGATCTAAGGGCCAAGATTGCAAATTTCAGCCTGGCAAGATCAGCTGACAATGAAAAGTCAAGTTCATCTATAAAATGCGTCAAGGGAAGAAATGGCTACTTGGCACCTGAGTACCTTGAAGCTGGTCAGGTTACTCCAAAAATAGACATCTATGCATTTGGAATTGTTCTATTGGAGATAATTACAGGAAAAGGGGCTGTTTTCGAGCAGGATGGAAAAGAAGTATTGTTATCGGAGACAGTGCTTGGAATTATGGATGAAGAATCTAACATTCAAGAATTTGCAGATTCCAGGCTACAAGTTAAGCACCCTCTTGGTTACATAATTGAACAGACTGATCTTGTGCTTCGATTGGTGAAACTATGTGCAGCATGCTTGAAGACAGAACCTGAAGGAAGACCAACTGCTGCAGAAATAATATCTACCTTAATGAAAATCCAGTCAGATGTACAAAACTAGACAACTTGGGAACAGAATGAATAAGTGCTGTTATATTCAGACAGGTCTCAGTAGTGAACTTTTGTTTCTTAAATGTAACGTTATGACTTAGCTGTGGCCTCTGTAATGTTCATTTAATTCCTCTTCCCTTTTCTCTCATTTTTTTTGTTTGGAATGATTGAAGTCACTTCTTTGATAGATGCGACTCTACAGGTTTTACAATGGCAACAGTTAAAAAGAAATGCAGGGAATAACCAGACGCGAGGACTCCAATTTACAATATATTGTGGAGATAACTCATCGTTCCCATTGCTTTATTCTCCAAAGCGTATCAATACAATAGTAGAATACGTTCAGTGTACATTTTTTTTATGTCAACGGGATATTACTGGACTGATAATCTGAACAGACTCCTCTGATTCACCTGGATTCAAAGAACTTTCATATATTTTCAAAGATGATTGACTGAGAAGACTGAGAGGGAAGACGATATCTGTCATTTTTGGCCTCTGCTGACTTCTCTCATGTGCACGCTGATGCCAAGGCAACTAGATTTAGATTACCATTAAAAGGGTAAAAACTTAACTGTGTATGTTCATGCATGTACTGCTAAGCATTTGCAATATCCAAGGCTACGTGTAACCTTTGACTCAATCCAAAAGTAATTGAAATCAGTTAAATGAATACTCTCAGTCTAGTTAGATTATGTATACATTGACCCCCTCAACCTACTGTAACTCTCCTCCTTTGTTCTAATTTAGTACTATGTGAAACTCACATAGTCAGTATCTACCAACAATATTCTCTGGATAAGATGAAAAATTAGAGAATACAATTATATAATATCACGAGCAGCCAAAGAAGATGCGAGTTTTGCTGCTTATATGGAGTCAATAGGTATTAAACAACCAATCTCCTCCTTCTGCAAGGTAAGACAATTCAGCATTACTATGTTTAGATTTCCTTTATATGAACAAGTATACAGCTTAAAGTATCGGAGCTACATTATATGTGCATCTTATAGATGCATTTACTCTTTACCTTTTCATTATTGTATTATTATTATGATGATTATCATCTCTGTATGGTATTTGGTCCTATAAAACTAGAATCGCGTTGAAGTGGAAGCACTGAGAGTGACTGAATAATTTAACAAGGGAATGTTCCTGTAAGCTTGATATGGTCAAGTGTTGTCTTGAGGCCATACTTGAGCACTGCCTTATTGCCTTCTCTGAATCCATCCCCATAAGTTGCTGAGGTATCTGATTCAATCTGGTGCTTGAAAAAATCACCCAATTTCTTCTCAAACTCGGAACGTTTCCCTTTCTTTGATGAAGTAGTAGATGGTGATGAAGAGGACGATGAGGATGCAGAGGAAGATGCAGAAGTTGTATTACTACCAGAACCAGCTATAATTTCAGAATCCAACCACATGTGAGCTAATACTTGGCAGATACCTTCTTCAACTTCTGGACTAAGACTCGGATAACCTAAGATCATTTAAATGGAAACACCTATCTTCAGAATATTAACAGAGAAATGACATCATATACAAGTTTTATTAGAAATAAAAGATCCACCTTTAAGCCGGAGCCATGCATGCATCATTTCATGAGCCAAAATTGAACCAGTCAATAACCTGGACATAAGTAAATTTGTCTCGAGATAAGGGTGAAATAACATTTTCTTTTTGACCATTGTATTAAACATGGGCAAAAGAGTGGCATTTGTTACCTTGGAAGACCATACAAGATTAAAATAGCTGTCACTTCACATCGTCGAATTAACCTGCAAGGCTCTGTAAACATATCTAAAATCCGATAACCACCAATCCGTGGCCGCCTTGATATCTGAAATGTTTGTGGGATAAAGACAGATTTCAATTTGAAAAAATTATGGCCATTAAGGAAAGTGCAGAAGAAGGGAAGATTCATACAGTGCTAATGGTCTGTTCTTCAGACAGGCAGAGTCCTCGAGTCTCAGGCATGTGATGATGACCCTATTAAGACAAACAAACAAAAGCTGGAAATTGAAGTAATAGCTTTCTCAACTCTGATTGTATAGTGTTTTAAGAAATGGATGTGTCTCACATTTTTTTCTCCTTCCATCGCTTCATTTAAGGCTTGTCTTTCCACTAGAAGCAAAGGAATTTGCTGCTCTACTTTCATATTTAAACCTTCGTAAAATTCTTGTATCTCAAGATAAAGGGGTTGACATTCATGAGTATCCATTATTGCAGAGTCCAAGCACTCTAGACACAGCTTCCTACCATCATCATTTATCAGATATCTGGCATCTACGGGCTACAAAATTTAGAAATCCTAACATTATTCAACGGGCACAAGAAAAGGAATGTCGCAAATTGTGACATTTATTCAGGTTTAATAATATCCCTACTCGTTCTGCTAATATTTTATGATAGATATGAACTTTACATCCTTAAAAACCATGTCAAAACCCAAATTGAAAATGTACCAGTAGTATTCTAGCAACTAACCTCCATTCTCTCACAACTGCAACAACGAGGTGTCCCATCAGTTTCATGTGACGGGCAATACTTCTGAAGCCAGAAAGGATGAGCCCTATATTCAATTAGACCAGCCGGATTTGTTGGAATCTAAACAAAATACAGGCAAAATATAGAAAATATAGTTAGTCATAGTTTACCAGACAAAGACGCTGTTTAATACAGTAAAGTTCACTGTGCAATACCACAATAATGAAATGTCAATCTCAGCCAAAAACAATGAATGGATTCCACAAAACCTCTGAAGGCATCTCCCTGAGGATTACTCGAGTCAAGCGGAAATTAAATTAAGGGCTCAATTTTGCTCTATCCATATATAAGAATAGTAGTTCTAGTTGCTTTGCCTTCTCTTTTGTTCTTTTCTTTTTCCTGATCTTTTCCCTCTAGTAGAATCAGTAGACTGCGTGAATGCAACGATGAAATGAAATTTGCATTTGTTTAGCTAAAGTGGAGCAGTTGCAACAGCCTAAAATATGGAGCAGAAACATTTCATATGCTCGCTAAGTATTTCGACGGAAAATAAAACATACAACAAGATCAAATAATAGAGAGAAAAAGCTTCTTGAGGAAGGCCGCTCTTATATCTGATCTAAAGTAGTAAATATGGAGATTGGAACTAGGAAGAATGTGGTGTTGGCTAGAAGATCCAAAAGAATAACGAAAAGCGCAAATTTGGATATGAATGAACACTTACGAAGTTCTTGCAAACATCACATTTTGGGTGATGCTGTTCTTTGTAGCATGATTTATGGTATGGACGGTTATCTGACATCGAAAACTGAAAAAGAAAAAAAAGGTTGTTTTAATATTCAACAATTCAAGGTAGTAGTAATTGAAAGAACCGTGGGATAAAACCTATTGAAGTATTTGAGTATATTTAGACCTCATAGTCAGAAATTGGTTGATTGCAGCCATGGCAACGGAAACATTCTGGATGCCAAACAGCTCCCATGCAGCTTAAATATCTTCCATGACCAATTTCAGCATTACAACCGGCACAGACCCTACACTCCGACAAATTGGTACATAAGGTAGTCTGTACACAAATTTGAAAGAAAATAATGTTTGAAACGACAAAGACACTCTGAGAAGTCTTATATTGCCAGGAAATATAGATGAGTCTATGGCACATGCAGATTTATCTGCAAAGATACAACTCAAAGGGCTTGCTGGATCTCTTTACTCTGTTGAAATGCAAGAGAAAATGAACGACGCTGTTCAGAGTACAAGAATTAACCATCTAATTTTCGGTATAGTTTGAGACATCACTACTTTGAGTTTGTGAAAATAAAATTACATACATATTTAGAGGCAATTCCAAGTAAATAAACAACAGTGTATAGCGTAGATATACATCTCAGACCACTGCTCTTCTTTAACATATGACTGCCTCTTCCACAGTGTTTAAAGCATCAGTCTCAGCCATGATGCCAGAGAAAGATTAGAAAAAGGATGAGTTTATAAGTTAACAAGAACATGATAAGAATTTATTTTTAACAATTCAATTAACAGAGGAAATAGTCAAAACAATTTTGCTCCAGAGAATAGAAGAGGTGTTACCTATATCCACGTGGATACGAGTATGCGACTGGTGGAAAGAAACTTCCAAAATCATATTGAGGTGGAGACGACTCCACATTCAAACTTTCCTGAAGAGCCTTGGCAAGCGCCTCGTCTTCCTCCAAGTTGGGTTCACTCTCTATTAAGTAGTGGTACAAGATTAAGGTATACATGATTAGCAATTAACCACCAATATACTAGAACTGGATAAGAAATTATAGATTTGCCTAGATACTATATAACCCCTAAAAATACAGTTCAAGAACAACAGTAAATAAGTTCTATTATGTCTGACCACTGACAAAAACATTAAATTTCAGATTGCTTGTGCATTTATAACCACACAGATTCTCCAAAGAAAGTTTAGGATAAAATTTACAGGGCCTCTCCAAAGAAAGTTTAGGATAAAATTTACAGGGCCACCTCAATAGGGTGAGCATTATTCAAATTCTTCCGATATACTATGCAGTTTGATAATGAAGTCAACAAGAAAATTTTGAATGGAAACAAGTAGAAAGCTTCTTTGTAGTTTACAATGTCATTATTCATCAGATGATGTAGACAATCAGAAGTTCAATTTTCGTACATGGATGACATCCATATTGAATCCTAGTCATGCTACTTACCGATTACTTTTTTCCCTTTCTGATCCTCTTCTGCTAGAGAAAGTGCAATGGCACGATCAATTTCTTCATTATCGAAATCTGACAATGCATCCTACACTCAGTCCGTATTATCATATTCAGTTAGCAAGGGAAAGACTTATTTAAGAGTTAGAACTTTCAGAGCATTTTCTCAGCAACATAGTTTGGGAAAATGCTCAGTTTCTCCTGCACCAAGCAGTTATAATAAACAGAACAACTTGAAAGAGATGAAGGTAAAAGGTTAAGCAAATTAGCAATCGAACACTAATTACCACTGAAGCAGTTGGTTCCTCCCAAATTGTACTGTCCTCATACCCTCCCTGATATTGCCCTCCTTCGTGCCCGGAATGATACTGCCCTCCCTCGTAGCCCCCATGATATTGCCCACCCTCATACCCTCCATGATATTGCCCTCCAGAGATCCTGTGAGTGGAACCTCCAAATATCTTTTCTAGCCAGCCCATAATACAAATGACGTAACTGGTGTACAACAACTATGCCTCAATCCCAAGCAAGTTGGTGTCAGCTATATGAATCTGGCACCAGTGTGTTGGCAATAAAAACCTGCAAAGCCAACGATATCGATTAAGTAACAATAGAATTGTTTGTGGACTGGATCATCCATATCTGCTATTAATCTCAAACTGATCCTATAAGCAACAAAACTGATACTCCGTATGAGCTTTGCAGAGATGGAACTGCACATACAAATAGCAAATCATCTACAAAGAATGACCACGAACACAAGCCGATAATCAGCTGATAAAAAAGGATGATCTTTTCAAAAATTGCAATAAAATGATCAGCATAATATGTTGCAATATATCAATCAATCAAACCTAGTGAAATCCCACTCTGAGGAGGGTAGTGTGTACAAGAAACTCATGTAATAAATAAGGTGACCCATGAAAACTTTAAGCCAGTGAAAACTCATCACTGAATAACGACCACCCACCAACCGTCAAAAAACAACCGACTATTGATTTGAGGTCTAATATGAACTACTATGATCCAAGTTAAAAGAAACAGAAAATTCATACAAAAAACTGTACAAGGAACAGAGAAGAGTCGTTATGTGTTTGTAGTCTCACTTCCGAATAGTTAAAAGAATCAGCACAATTTTGAAGGAATCTGATGAATAAGGAGCAGACAAAGCATCAAATTCAGTTTGAAGGTAGGTCATGCCCCTGAATTGGAGAGATACCCATATCCCCCACCACCATCATTCTACACAAGAATAAACACAAAACTTGGGAAAATTACAAGAAGAAAAAAAGTGAAAGATCGAATCACAGAAGTGGTCAGTGGGGAATTCTTCTTGGCAGGTTCAGAGGAACATTCTAGTGGAAGTGTGAAAAAAGATAAAAAGTAAGCCAGAAAAGGAAAAACCAAATAAAGGACTTGAATTCCACGCAAAAATGGACCCAGAAAAAAATAAAAAAGTTCAAAACTTTTCCAAAGTACAGTAATTAGATCGATACCTTCCTCAAAAATTGATTAAAGGGGGTACGAAAAAAAAATCCGATTTTTCAAAATTGAAAAGTTTTGTGCTTTTCTTGGAGGTGGGACCTTTGGTCCATTATAATTTGATACCATCAGTCCACAATATGTTAAAAACCCATAACCTACTCCTGTTAACCTTTCTTATTGAGAATGCGTCAGCAGAGAAAGAGAAGACGATTTTTGGGTCATCTTCCATACTGTTGATTCTTTTGGCTTTTTGCTCCAAGTGGGTACTGTGCAGTGGACTTGATTAAGTCTTGCATTTTCTTTTTCTTTTGCTTTGCTTTTTTGTTGTAAAATGAAATGAAGGAGAATTTTCTTGTTTAATCCAAAGTGAAGAAATTGAGTGGCAGTTTAAGGAAGTGTGGCAGGTGGAAAGTACAAATCAAAGCTCAGAAAATTGACAAGTGGCTAAATGAAGATCCAATCTCAAAGTGGCTGCTTTCTAACTTTGCTTAACGTTCTGACACCAAGTGCCTGTCTACTACTGTCTATTGTCCTATAAAATCGACTTTGCTTTTTCTAACTTACAACTCTGGAAAAGGCACTTCACCCGCTCTGTTCTGACTTCAAGACATCCGCCACTTGATTACTTCTCAATTACCCACGTAATATTAGAATTTTTTCTTCTTCTTTAAATTCTTATTATAAAAAATTACTTGCATTAATTTGGATTCCTACCAAACAAATCCACTAAAGAAACAAACACACTTCTCTATACATTTTTATGGCTCGAACTCACGGTATTCTAATTAAGTGTGCACATATGTTAATGTTGAGAGAAGGATGAGACAGTAAAGAAGAGCCAGAGAGAAGGTCAGTTGTGGAGAGCAACCGTCTCGGATATTTTCTCATTAAATCAAAAAAGAGATCAACTGTATAATTTATATTATTTTCTAACTCACTAACTTAACCCAATACTAATTTGTGTCTAACTAACTAACTATAATTACGACTAAGATACCTCATTATATACACAATGTATCACTACTACTAAGACATAATATTTCTACACTACCCCTCAAGTTGGGTGATGAAATACATTGATCGTCCCCAACTTGCACACCATATTATTGTGTAGCTGCTTCCCACGACCTTTAGTCAATATGTTTGCCACCTGGTTTTTGCTACATACATGTTCTGTCTTGGTCACCCCACTTTGTATCCTTTCTCGTATAAAATGATAATCTATGTCTATGTGTTTAGTGCGCTCATGATACATGGGATTTGAAGTTATCTGCAAAGCTATCTTGCTGTCACAAATTAACTCCATAGGCAGTTCAATCTTCATTCCTAATTCCTGCAATAGTCCATGTAGCCAAACAAGTTCTGCCACTGTAGTTACCATACTCCTGTACTCAGCTTCAGCTGAGCTCCTTGATACTGTACTATATTTTTTTTTATATTTCCAGGAGATTAGTGAATCCCCCAGCTTAATACAATACCCTGTCACAGACTTCCTGGACACCACACATGATGCCCAGTCTGCATCACAAAAGACAATGATTCGTCCAGATTTTCTGCTACTCATCAGTAACCCCAATCCTGGTTGGTCTTTTATGTATCTAACCACCCTTAAAGTTGCTTCATAATGCAACTCTGTTGGAGCATGCATGTATTGACTCAATGTTTGGACTGCGAAGGAAATATCTGGCCTAGTGATGGCCAGATACAACAACCTCCCCAACAGTCTTTGATATGGTCTTTTGTCTTCTAATTCTGGACTTGTACCTTTATCAGATTCAAACAACTTGTCATACTCAAGGCTGGTGAATTTGTGATTTTGTTCTAGAGGTGTTGCAAGTGGCTTTGCTTCCCTTAGACCACATTTTGAGATCAACTCTAAGGCATACTTTCTTTGATTCATAAGTATACCCTTAGATGATCTTGCAATTCAATCCCCCAAAAATATCTCAACTCCCCTAAGTCTTTCATTTTAAAGTTGTTGTTCAGGATATCCTTAGCTTCTTCTATTAGTTTAGTGTCATTGCCAATGATTAACAAGTCATCTACATATACTAGAATAATCACAATATTGGCATCTTGGCCTTTTATGAACAAAGAATAGTCCAACTTACTCTGTGTGAATCCTGATTGTATTAAAGCTGTAGTAAGTTTTAGGTTCCATTGCCTACTAGTTTGTTTCAACCCATACAAGTATTTGAGGAGCCTGCACACTTTGTTCTCCCCCTGGCCACCAAATCCTTGAGGTAGGAACATATAGATCTCTTCAAATAAGTCCCCGTATAGGAAGGTATTGTAGACATCCATTTGGTAGAGTGGCCAGTCAAACTGAGCAACTAGAGAAACAACACACCTGACAGTAACCATTTTGACCACTGGGGAGAAGGTATCATGATAGTCTTATCCTTCTTGTTGAGTGAAACCATTGGCCACTAATCTAGATTTATACCTCTCTACACTACCATCAGCTTTGTACTTCACTTTATGCACCCATTTGCACCCAATAAGTGTCTTACCTGCATATAGATCAACTAAACCCCAGGTATGATTATTAGTAAGGGCATCAATTTCTAATTTCATAGCCTGAATCCAGTAGGATCTTGGACAGCTTGGGCAAATAAGTAGGTTCAGTAATAGCAGAGAAGGCTGCTAGATAAGCATGGTAAGAAGAAGAAATAGAGGAGTAGGACATGGATTTTGATAAAGGGTATGGAGTAGTGGAAGAAGAGTGAACATAGTCTATTAACCATAAATGAGGTTTGTATGTTCTAGTGAATTTTCTCAGAGGAAGGGAAGGATCAATGGAAGGTATAGAAGTAGATGAGAAGGTAGATTGAGGAGAAGGAGTAGATGAAGGATGTGGAGTAGGAGAAGAAGGTAGCGATTCATTGGTTGGGGTAAAGAAATGACTTGATCAATAGAAGTAGGACTAGAGCCTACAATGGGAAAGATATCATCCACAGAGGAAGGTGAAACAAAAGGCATAGAAGGGGAGTCTTGTGGTTCAAGAAAGGTGTATTTAGGATATTTGAAAGGAAACACCGACTCTTTAAAGGTGACATCCTCATTCACGAAGAAGGTGCATGTTGCAATGTTGTACAGTTTTTACCCTTTCTGAATTTCTGAATAACCCATGAAAAATATTGGGATGACTTTGGAAGAGAATTTGTCAGAGAAATTAGGTTTGATGGCATAATACAAGCAACCAAATACCTTTAGGTAGGTGAGAGAAGGCGGTATGCCATATAACAACACATAGGGTGACTTCCCTGAAAGAGATGGAGAAGGCAATCTATTTATAAGGAAGGCTGCTGTGAGGACACATTTACCCCAGAACTTTAATGGAGCATAGGCTTGGAATCTAAGTGCCCTTGCCATTTCAAGCAAGTTCCTATGCCTCCTTTCAGCCACCCCATTTTGCTGTGGGTGCTAACACAAGAACTTTGATGAATTACCCCAAAAGAGTTAAAGAGATTAAGACAATGAAAATTAAAGAATTCAAGACTATTATCATATCTGACAATTTTAATAGAGGCAGAGATTTGATTTTTAATCAAGGTAAAGAATTTCTTGATCAAAACAATAACATCTCTTTTTTGTCTCATGACCCAAGTCATTCTAGAATAATCATCAATAATGGTAAGGAAAATCTGAAACCATTATAGGTACATTATCTATATGGACCCCATATATCCATATGTACAAGTTCAAAGGGAGATACAACTTTTGACTCACTAGTAGGAAAAAGAAATCTAGCTTGCCTTGCTAAAGGACAAATAGTACAAGATTTAAATGCTTGACTAGACAAGTGACTCTTCAGCATTGGGATTTTCTGGAGGACAGCAGTTGGTGCATGACCAAACCTTTGGTGCCATATTGAGAAGTAATCAGACTCAGTAGAAGATAAGCAATGATGTGAAGGAACAAGAGAAGTTGAAGGTGTAGGACTTGAACTGGTGAAGGTCTCTTGGCACGTTGAAGTAAGTATAAACCATCCTTCTCCTTACCAATCCCCCTCACCTTTCCAGTGCAGAGGTCCTGAAAGATACAAAAATCAGGATAAAAACCAACATAACATTATAGTTGCTTAGTTAGTTTTGAAATGGATAAGAGATTATACTTGAAAAAAGGAACATATAGCACATTAGTCAGTATATTGTCAAACAAAGACACTGAACCAATGTGTGTGATAGAGGTAGTCTGGCCATTTGGTAGGTGAACTTGGCTACAGTTTGGAGCTATAAATTCAGAGTTAAGCAGATGATTTAGGCTAGAAATTATGTGATTTGTTGCCCCTATATCTATCACCCAAGGAGTAGTATCTGTCACACCCCGAACTTGGGGGGGGGGGGGGGGGGGGGGGGAGGGGGAGGGACGAGAACGACACCTAGTGCCTCACTTAACTGAGCATACCAACTTGAGACTGAGGGACTCTGGACATACAATCTCATACTTTGGCCATAGGGCCACATTGCAAGACAATTTGTGACACATAATATAAAACTGAACGGAAACTAGCTATGACTAAACATCAATATAAAGCTGGGCCGACAAGGCTGTCATAACTACTACAGCTGACAAACAAACAAAAATATACATACAAGCCCAACATACTGCACTGACTGACAGAATATGTCTACAAGCCTCTACTGATGGATGTACTACGGTCGGAATAGAGCCCGACCTACCCATAATATATATACATATATACACAATATGTACTCAAAACCCTAGACCCAATAACTCCAAAGGACGTGGAGCTTACCGATCAAGATGAACACGGACAACACCTACGGAGGAGGTCTACCAGCCTGTCTATCCGAACCTGCATGCATGAAATGCAGCATTCCGAGGAAAGGGATGTCATTACGAAATAATATACCGAGCATGTAAGGCAATAAAATAACTAAAAGCTGAAACTGAACTAATAATATAATAACTGAAAG